TGCTGGGGACCCCTCTAGTGATAAAGATCTATATAGAGGAATCAGGACCTCCTGCTGGGGATCCCTCAATACAGACCTCAGAAAAGAAAATACATCAGAGAGTTCTTCTTTAAGTTCCTCCACAGGAAGTGCTTGGCTCCCAGAATGACTAATAACACCGGGCTGTCTAAGGAACAAGCGTTCTATTATTCAACACTCCTTTCCAGGAGCAGCAAGCCACGCTGCCTGCACTTAACCCTCTGCATTAGACTCGGGGGGGGTTAATTTACAGATCCAAGTCAGAGATGAAGATTATATGTACACAGAGCAGATTATTTGTCTTTATTAGCAGTTACAGTGCTGGGAGATGGTGTATGGTGTGCTTGGTGTATAAAAGATAAATATTCTCTCCCCGTTCCTTTGGGATTGTGGGCTGGAATTTAATAAGGAGTTACAAAAAAGTGATATTTTACTTACAGGCCCCGTCATCCTACGTGTGTTGGATACTTGGTGAGATCTCCCTGCCATCATTCCTGACTGCCTTCCTGCACATCATTTCGTGTTCCTGTCAGGCCAGGAAGTAAGGGGAAATACAACATTTGACAGCTGTCATCAGTACATGAACGGAGGGGAAAATCTGCTAAAGAGGACACCTGCTCCAGTGACAACTGTCAAATTTCTTCTTACTTCTAGATTTGCTCTCACTTCCTGTTATGTCTCCTGAGCAGAAATTTCTAAACAAAAACGCAGAGATTTAGTCTGTGACAGTGATAGAGTATCAATACCCCAAAAACAATTGCTTAGATGTGGAGGTAGCACTAGTTTCCTTCATTGTCACTTTCTGCCAGTAACACACTACCTGCCCTAGGGTGACAACAGTCACTTTTGTACTCTATTAGGGATGCACCGATGTCAATACTAGTATCAGGGCAGAGTGTTTGGCAGAGTACTTGTACTCGCCCAAATGCTCTGGTGCCTAGCCCGATACTTGAGCTTCCTGTATCAGGAAGTTGGGCAGCGAGTCATTACGCGCTGCCCGGCTTCCTGATTGGCCAGGAAGCTGGCTCCATGCTCCCTTGTCAATTTGTGATGAGGAAGCATGGAGCCGACTTCCCGGATAAGCAGGAAGCCAGGCAGCGCGTCATTACATGGCCCCCGGCTTTCTGATTGGCCAGAAAGCCGGCTTCATGCTCCCTCGTCACCTGGTGACAAGGGAACATGGAGACGTCTTCCCTGCTGATCAGGAAGCTGGGTGGTGAGTCATTACACACGCTACCTGGCTTCCTTAATTGGGCTTCGGGTATCGGTATTTGTTATTGGTACTCGATACCGAAAAACCGGTATCAGTGCATCCCTACTAATTATGGAGGGAACAGTGTTGTCACCCTAGGCTGCTCCCCTGATTTAGACTTTCCTGTCAGCTCCATGGCAGCACACGAATGGGGAGGAGGGAGGGATTAACCCATTCGTGTGCTGCCATGGAGCTGGACAGGAAAGGAAAATTACGTTAAGTATGAAATACAATTTTCCTGTTACTCACATCTTCTCCTCCCCAGTACATAGGGAGGAGGTGTTTGGTAGTTCACTTATGATAGCTAGGGAAGCAGATAACATTGTTTGAGATATCAGTTCAGTACATGGGAAGTTACAAGAACACTGGATTTCTGGTAAGACCAACGGGTATTTTTATGTACTGGCAGAAAATGTACTTAGTCTGGAGGTAGAAAACTAATGCAGCCAGCCACCACACCCCCAGGCTGGTTGGCTGAAGTCTATTTTATGTTTTTCCCTGGGTTTGAATTTGTTTTATAGGAACACTTATAACCCCCCCCCCCCCCAGTCAATGTGCAATTCAAAGTTTTCAATCAAATCATTCATTTTTTTCAAGAAATACCATCACTGGGTCCGTTTGCCGCTCTTTGCTCTAAGTCTGGTGAAAGGGGTCGGCAATGCTTCTGTAACCACAGCATCTGATATTTTTCAAGAGAATTCGTGGAACACATCCCCGGGATTCCTTTAGGTGTGCCTGCTTCTCCTTGCTGGCCACTGGTTGCTGCAGACTTTATCTGCGCACTCTGCCGATCTCTTGCTTGAACAGGCACCTCTAAAAGGGATGCCAGTCATGTGTTCCTTCCTATAAAGCTCAGGAACAAAGTTATTGATGGCAGAGAGAAGACAATAGCTGTGAGAGAGAAGACAACAAATGGTACAGATCAGAGGGAGAAGTGACCGATGAATGATGGAGGTCATCCAGACAGGAAATAAAGGTGGGTTCCAGATAGCTGCAGCAGCTTCAGAGGGTGATACTGAGAGGTGCAAGTTTGCAGAGGATTGAGAGTAATATATTTAAATGCAGGAGGACTTGCTACAAGTGTGGGGGGAAAAAAGGTAAGGCTGGAGTTCAGCTTTAATAGGAGATCACATGACCCATGCTCTTCATTGCTTTTGTAAATCTTACAAATGATGCAGACAGGCAAGCGACGGTTGACATACACACTATATTATCCTTTGCAGCTATAACAGCTTCAACTCTTCTGGGAAGGCGTCCACAAGGTTTAGGAGTGTGTCTATGGGAATGTTGGACCATTTGTGAGGTCAGGTACTGATGTTGGAGAAGGCCGGGCTCGCAGTCTCCACTCTAATTCATCCCAAAGGTGTTCTATCGAGTTGAGGTCAGGACTTTGCGCAGGCCAATCAAGCTCCCCCACCCCAAACTTGCTCATCCATGTCTTTATGGACCTTGCTTTGGGCACAGTCATGTTGGAACAGGAAGGGGCCTTTCCCCAAACTGTTCCCACAAAGTTGGGAGCATGAAATTGTCCAAAATGTCTTGGTATGCTGATGCCTTAAGAGTTCCCTACACTGGAACTAAGGGGCCAAGCCCAACCCCTGAAAAACCCCCCCACCCCCATAACCCCCCTTCCACCAAACCTTACACTTGGCACAATGCAGTCAGGCAAGTACCGTTCTCCTGGCAACCGCCAAACCCGGACACGCCCATCGGATTGCCAGACAGAGAAGCGTGATTCGTCACTCCAGAGAACACGTCTCCACTTCTCTAGAGTCCAGTGGCGGCGCGCTTTACACCACGGCATCCCACGCTTTGCATTGCACTTGGTGATGTAAGGCTTGGACGCAGCTGCTCGGCCATGGAAACCCATTCCATGAAGCTCTCTACGCACTGTTGTTGTGCCAATCTGAAGGCCACAGGAAGTTTGTCACAGTTGACTGTGGAATATTTAATGGCAAGGAAATTTCACGGAACACCTGAATCCAATGATTTGGAGGGGTGTCCCAATACTTTTGGTAACATAGTGTATAGACAAATGTCAGGGGGCTGTCAAGCAATGGCAACAAGTTACATTTTGTGAAACACAGGGAATGAAAACACTCCGCTCAAAACCCACTATCCTTTATTTCATTAAAAAAACCACAACAGTTACAAATACGATTCACACTACAACAAAAACTAAAAGACACATTAAATATGAGCATTTAAAAGGTGATGAACATTGATCTCCTGCTTCGTGGCTTGTAGAAAAAGAGAAAAGGAGAATGGACGGTCGCACCATTACAACAAGGAGGGGTCAGGCCCACACACTTATGAATACAGCTGAATGTTCGGTCCTCCTGCGAGGATAGGACGATGAAATCTCCATTTCAATGCAATACAATATGAGAAGAGAACGTACAGCAGCCTCTAGAACAATGATCCTCAACGTTCCATAATCCACAGACGCCAATAAAACAAGTCACAGAAAAGGGGTCCGCCAAGTCTTGTTCTCGTCTTCCCTTGTCAATATCACTAGATTAAAAAGGAGATTCTGACTATTCGGGGGAAAGTGACAGGTTCTCTTGAAAGGCCAACAGCCCCCCTCCCTGACCCACTTATACTTACCTTCCCCTCTGCTTTGTTCACCAGGAGCCAAACCCAGTGCAAGATCTGTGATGGAGCTTATATAGGGGTTGAGGACATCATCCTCCTTCTAGGAACTGGCTGCTCAGTGCCTAACACTGCATCCTGGGAGGGGGGTCACATGCTCCCCCATACGCAAATATTTTGCAAGGGCTCCAACAAAGCGACGGGGAGTCGGAGAAGTTGGGGGGGTCTTACAAGAGACTATGCTACCTTCCCCCGGATGCCATCTCTTGTTACTTCCCTCACGAATTGGACACCTTGCTGTATGTCAGGGTAGGCAATCTCCAGCTGTGGTGAAACTATACATCTCATGATGCATTGGCCTGTGGCTGTCAGAATCTTGCAATGCCTCATGGGACTCGTAGTTGCACCACATCTGGAAGGCCGAAGTGTGGCTACCCCTGCCGTTTATCCTCCTGTGCTACCCAGTGCTATGTACACTTGAACTCCATCTGAACATTGCTCTCAGCTTCAGTACTTCTTATCCACAGAAGAGGAATGAATAGGCAGCCAATGAAACTTAGAGAAGTCGCAGTTGCGTATTTGGGCCACTGAGTCAAAACATCATCATGGTTGCCGGGCAACTAGCATTTGCAGGGTGTCAGTAATGGGAGCTGCCATTCCGGATATCCTACTGAAAATGCTAGTTGCCTGTCTTCTCATGAGGATTCTCTGACTTCAACAGCAAAACAAGCAGACAGATTAGAATGACGGCATTATTTGACCGTCATTTACAATGTGCGTGTTCTGGGTCAGTGACAGGGAATACTAAAAGTCAGAGGCAGCCAATGACGGACACACTTTCAACGCCGAGGTATAAAACGTGAGCGATATGAAAATGTTCTCATTGCACAAAGAAACCAACCAGCTTCCAGCTGTTATTTTCGGGGGCCAGGTGTGAACATAAAACAAGGATTCTGAATGGCCGATATTGGGAAACAAGACATTTTGCACCAAGCACGCTTTTTATACACTAGCCCTTTGGTGGCCACATTAGGTTCTACCTCACGTTAGCCCTATCTAGTCCTGGTAGGTCTGAGAACACTGACCTACACCCGACGGGCCAGCTACAGCCAGCAATGAGGCAGATCTCTCCAGCAAGGGTAGAACAGATGGCAGAGGACCTTCTGGAGTGCTTGGGGACCGAAGTTTGACAATCACTGATGAATGGCATCTGGGCTCAACAAAGCAACATAATCATGGTGAAAGTTCTGTCTGGTGTGCCCCGTGTTTTCACTTCTTTGTGCTTCCCACCTCCAGACTTGCCAGGGCCAAAACCTTATCTCCCGATCCTGCAAAACAAACCAAATAATAGAACTTACCAAAAAAAAGCACACACGTCACATGACCCTCCACTGCCAGTCACATGACCCTCCACTGCCAGTCACATGACCAAAGTCTAGGCTTTTGTTCATTTGAGCAAAAGGGAAGGATAAGTGTTCCTACTGGCAGATCCTCCGCTTCAGCAGAAATCATGTGTCTATGTTTTGGTCATGTGACCAGTAGTGGGGAACCGGCTTATTTGATTTACTCTGGTCAGGACACTATCTGCAAAGGGTTTGCATGTTCTCCCTGTGATTGTGTGGGTTTCCTGCGGGTACTCCAGTTTCCTCCCACACTGCAAAGACATGCTGGTAGGTAAATTGGCTCCTGTCTAAATCCATCTTGGTGATGGACGCCAGCAGAGAAGGAGAGGACGTTCACCTGGCAGAATAAGGTACGCCGCTGGGTCCCCTCTTTCCTGCAACTGTCAGGTTCTCGGTATATGACCAAGTGCCTGACTTTTCACGGGGGGGTGACACTAAAATGACTGTCATTTTGGTGTCACCCAGGTGTGGGCCGCTACCCAGTAGTGACTCCACTGCTTAGCCCTATCACACACTGACACAGTGCTCACACAGGACTCTCTAACTGTGGACCATAGAAGAACATGGGGAAGGTAAATATGAGAAGCAGGGAGGTGGGCTATAAAAAGAAATTGTTACACTGGCTTGAATATGCAGGTTGCTTGGCCCAAAAGCAATTCCCATTTAAATATATATTAAATTACAGGGGTAGGCAACCTCGGCACTCCAGCTATTTTGGAACTAAAAGTCCTATGAGACATTCCAAGACTCCTATAGGCAGAGGCATGTGTTCTGTCGTTTCAAATCACATCTGGAGTGCCAAGGTCGCCTACCCCTGATCTATTATAAGCTATTACGATTAAAGATCATGATAATGAAGGCAGAAGTCCGGTAGTTGGTTCCAAGACACGAAATTGACACCTCTACTATAACGAGGTGTCAAGTAGAACACATAAGACACAAAGAAAAGTTTGTGAATACAAGTTTTGCCAACTTCTGGAGGCGCTAGGTTCTAGAAGGTCTTTACTGAAGATGTCGGTAATCTTCCCACTCACTGCCAGGTTCCTGGTGTCCATGAGTGTTCCGATCTCCACCTGCTGCGTAATGTGAGTCCAGCACAGCGTGATGCGTGGGAGATGTCCCACAAGTCACATGATGCACGGTGTCATTAAACGCCAAGGACTAACTGAAGACGGGAGCACACAGAAGCCTGCCCTTATTTCATGGACCCAAGTTCCTTTTCGTCTTGACATATCCTGGGATTTTAATACAGATTGTGTTAAGCAGCCCTGAAGGATCCGGCAGTCTACACTGTAAGTAAGACAGGAGCTTCCTTCTCCATTGTTTACTAACCGTTAAACCAGTGGTTCTCAACTCGTGGGTCGCGACCCAAAAGTGGGTCGCGACACCCTCTGCAAACTCGCATAACCAGAGAAGTATGCCTTGACAGGAAAGGAGGATAAGCGATCCTTGAGACCAGTGATGGTGAACCTTTCTGAGCCCGAGTGCCCAAACTGGATCACTAAACCAACTCATGTATCTCAAAGTGCCAACACAGCAATTGCAACACTGTATAGCTCTCAGGGAGGCTGTGCAGCTCTCAGGGGTGCTGTGTGGGCTCTCAAAGGGGCTGTGCGGCTCTCAGGTGGAATATAAGGGCCCAGAGAGGCCCCAGCGAGTGGCCTCTAATATGCCTGATTGTGGCTGGCCCGGATCACATACCGAGGCGATCCAGGACAGTCGGGCATATTTTCAGGAAGCGCTCACATGTTAATCCAAACCTAGATTTGCGTGCCAGCAGAAAGGGCTCCGCGCGCCCTAGGTTCGCCACTACTGCTTTAGACCATCATCTTGGAAGCCGATTTGCCTGAACTATCCGGAATGGTAGAACGAGAAGCCGAATGACCCTACAGGGTCCAAAAAAGTCAGTGGCTGAGATATAGAGGCTCACAGCCTGAAATACATTCAAACAAGAAAGAGAAGCTCCTCTGGAGTTGGACAGAGGGGCCGAAGAACAATGTCCTGGTTGAGGAGAAGATCAGAAACTGCCCATGTCCTTGGTTAGAAGACGTCCTAGACCACTACTCACCAGATCCCATTACAGGGTTCTTTGCATGGAAAGCCTCTCAGGTCAGACACTCACCTCATAGAAGCAAAGACTGCAAGGAAAGAACCCCTTATGTGTGAATTAGAGAAAGTAATACCTCCAAGGAGATTCAAAAACTAAGTTTGATCCCACGGAGTCACAAGAGTCTTAACAGAGCTGAAGGAAAAGACATCTATCCCCTTAGGACACTAGCAAAAAATGAAGGCATACTGGTAGTGGGAAAAGCTATCCTGGCCAAAACTACAGTTTTTATGTTAGTCAGTGTCCAATCCTCCTGCAGGCTGAAGTATAACCTAAAGGTGAAAAAGACTACCTGTGCCTCTCAATTAAAGAGAACTAAAGGACTAGGTCCACAAAGCCAGTAGAACAATAGGCACAGAAGCAGAATATACCTTTAAAATGACAGCGATCATCAGCTGGGAGTCAGTATGTTTGCTCTCACTCTCTTCACTGACCATGATTGTCAGTAACGAGCTAATGACAACAACCTAGAAGGTGAATATGAATGTACGCTGCTGTGGAGTTCAATGTTTGGGACTATGCAAGCATAAAAAAAAGCAGACTTTGATGTATGCTATGACTCAGGATGACATCTCCATTATTACAGGTCCGGTTGGTACACGGGAAGGACTGTCAGAACTTTATGATTAGTCAGTATTGTGGTAGGGAAATGACATATGACGGAGAACATACAACCTACATACAGATAGTGTTTCTGGTAGGCAATGAAGTGACACCACATAGGATTAACCACTGAACCCTTCTGCTACTCCACTGGGGATAGGACTCACCTAATCCTTCCGAGACCTTCTGAAACTGGCTGAGCGCAGCGCCCGCATTCTCTGCGAGGAAAGCCTCCTCCTCTGGCGTCAACTAAAAAACATCAACACAAATTCGTCTTTACACGCCAACCATACATAAAAGGGAACAAAATATACACCAAACTTTTATCATCTCTGTATTACCTTTTCTCCGAGTTTTCTCAGAGCGGTCAGGATCTCCCCTTTCTGCTGAGTATAGAGGTCTCTTCCAAGTTTACCGACCATTAAATCCCGGTCCATCTAGAAAACAGACATGAAGTATAGACAGCTTGCCCCCAATTGGTCCATGTCTTGCGACATCAACCAGAGGGGGAGGCCTCACCTCTCCTAACCGCGTCCTCAGCTGCCCCGGCTGCTTTTTGGCAAACATCCGGATGACCTCCGGGGTCTTGAAGGCCTGGCTGATCGCTGCTTGAATGGCCTGTGAGATAAACGAGAGTTGTGTGATACGGGAGGGAAGGTCAGGGGTGTATCTACTGCAAGGCAAACTAGGCATTTGCCTAGGGCGGCACTTTCCAGGGGGGCGCCAAAAAATGAATATCAATGAGAAATTGGGAATATAATCAATCTTGAAGCACTAAAACAAAGAATCACCGACAATAAGACAAGACCGCTCGCCGGGGAGATTCACCCGAGAACTGTCCTGGTGACCACAATTACCAGGACTAACAGTGAGCTGAAATCTTATCTAAGAGGGGAATTTCCTCTTACGTCTGTTGTGCTTGAGGGGTTTTAAATACTAAGTTTACCTTTCAAGGCCTGTACATGGAAAGACTACAAGTCCCAACAGCCACTACGGCAGAGGGACTTGTAGTTCTTACTAGAGCGCTATTGCAGTGACACTTGCCACATGGGACTTGTAGTTCCACTACAGCTGGAGGGCCCAGGGGTTACCTCCTCTGATCTAGAGGATGAAGGGGGTAGAAATGCCCCATTATACCACCCTCTAGTGGACCCCCAATAGCCCCACGGACATCCAAGATACCATAAAATATACAGCATTGGATTGGGTCCTGCTCCACTCCACCCAGAACAGTAAGTCTGTTTTGGATGAGGTTGATTTTATTGTACCATGAACACCAGACAGCTAGCTGACATGTTTGTACAGCTCCCCACAACGTTTCATTACGCAGCATGCCACGAGGATGGTTGTCTCATGCGCACACATGACTCCCATCTATTATCTGCGGCTCTTTCAGTTTCTCGGCAGTAAACATGAATAGTAAGTGTGATACGGTTTAATGGCTAACTAATTGCATAACATTTTACCAGTTCCCTGAACACAGAAGCCCCTTTATCACGTGTCCTGACGGCTCGCAAGAAATGAGTCAAGCGTTAAATGGAGTCTAATGATTCTTAATGAGATCAGCTTGACATGGTACAGAAAAGGTCTATTTTCGCCCTGTCTGGATATGGAATGTCCTAATAACATCACTGTTACATGGGGCTAGGATGGACAGATGGGTATCTTACTGAAAGCAGTGACACCTCTCAGCACACACGGCTTACATTTCCTTCCATCCTGTCAGCGTACGAGTACAGACACCCACTCGGGCGTGCAGGGCGGCATAAGGCCGCGTACTCCCATAGAGAAGGACAGGGGCTGCTTACTAAATCACACGCAGCGCCTGTCCTTCCCGGGAGCTGCCCGATACAGCCGTGCATGCAGCATGGAGCTGTACGTGTCGGCCGTTTCTCGTGTGAATGAGGCCGAAAGATAGCTCCACTTTTCATTATACAGTCTGGGGCTGATTTATAAACACACTCGCCCAACGTACAGCTTAGCGAAGGACGTTCGCAGCTTATTACTGCCACTAGATGGAGCAGAGAAGCATAAGAAATGCCTATGCTCCTCAACTCCATCTAGTGGCAGTAATGAGAACTGAACGTCGTTCACTAAGCATTACGCTGGGCAAACGCGTTATATAACAACCCCTTAGAATGGCAACAGGATATGAATGGGAACCCTTTACATCACCAAAGTCACCCTGAGCTTGTACAAAGTGATGGTGTCACTGCAGTGATGATGGAGCTTGTCATGGTGTCACAAAGTGATGGAGTCACTGCAGGAGGAAGGCAAGCTCCCTACTCTCCCATGTACGGATACACTATGGTACAAGAGTAAAACTACACTGGAGGTGTACAGATCCGGCAGTACAAAAGGAGACTGACGATGTGAAAAGGTTCCCATCATTTGAGGAAACAAAGGTCTGCCTATTGCAAAACTAATTTTATTTTTATTAAAAGTACAATTATCCTTTAAAGGAGAACTATGGGGTTAAGGCTTTTCCCCATAGTTCTCCTTAGGGTAACGGGAGGACACAAACTAGCGTCCTCCCGTCCCCCTAGGCTCAGTATACCGCGAGCTGCAGCTCGCGGTATACTGAGACGCCGCAGCTGAAGCGGAGCCCAACAATTATGTCTGGATCCGCCCACCTATGTGAGTGACAGCTGGCTCTGCCTATCTAAAGGCAGAGCCAGCTGTGACCCGCCCCCTCCCCCCGTCCGTTCCGCCAGTCAGCGCTGGAGGATCGGAGCATGGAGGGGGGAATCCAGCCCCTCCCCTGTCACGGCAGAGAGCCGTGACAGGATCGAGAAGTGAGCGAACGCCGGTATGTGTTCGCTCACCTCCCGATCTACTGAGCCGACCTGTGACAGTCTCATTGTCACAGGTCGGCTAGAACCATGAGGTGAGTGAAAAGCACTCCCCTCATAGTTCTCCTTTAAAGCCCATCTCCAGGCAAATAATGACCCCCCCCCCCCCCCACC